CAGACCAAAGGCGGGAAAGTCTGGAGGTAGGGAAGGTTGGGTATAGGGAGAGGAATGTCCAGGAATGAGGCTACTTGGAACTTCCAGCTCACCCAAAACGCTTTAGGTGGGCTTCAACGAACAGGGGGGCGAGCTGAAGCTGGACAACTGCTGGCTGCAGGGTCAGTCACGTGTGTAGTGGACCCCTATCCAGTACACCACATCGCACTGTACTATACCCACCTAAGTAGGTACAGAGTGGGTAGAGCTCCACCAGCGTCATTGGGGGACGGGACAGAGAGTTGGAGGCGGGAGTGAAGGCACCGCGAAGCACTGGCCAGGCGGGAAAGTCACAAGGAGAAGGCACAGTAGGTACAGGTACGTATCTTACCCCTCCAAAGTCATCGCAGGTGCGGGGCAAAATGGTTTTTTACTGGTAATTAATGGCCATCTCACTTTTCGGTCATTCTCGATATTTTGGTCGATGGGCTGAGACTGGTCACGAAAGATCCTCTTTCAAACCCGGCCTTCCACGCGAACGTCTTCGGGAGACCCGGACTGCCACCTTTTTCTCACATTCCCGAGAATCCGAAGCGCATGAAATAACATGGCTTCATCAACCGCCGACAGCTCGCCCGCCGCGCTCAATGCGCTGACAGACACGGCTGTCACACTTATTCAACACCTCGAGGCAGTGCTTCTTGCTATCAACAGCGGCAAAGACATTCCTCAACAGACCGATACCTCCTCCGTCGATCCCTTGCCGCTCGCGCGCGACTCTGCATCCCTAATCAAGGCTCATGCTACCAAGATCTCTGTCCTTATCATCAACGAGCCGTTTACACCCTCGGCCATTATCAAAGTCCTCCGCGAGCTCGTCAGCGGGCCGATCCCCGGCATAGCTACAGCTGCCCAAGCATGCGACGCAGGGCGCTACACCTCAACCGTTCGAACAGATCTGTCATGGAAGTGCTACACTGTGTTGAGGGAACTCAGGGCCTTGGTGGAGAAGATTCCCAAGGACGGCAAGATTCTTTCCTCGGCGCAGAAGTCAGGATCCGCGGGCACCTCGGGCAAGGGAAGCATGGCTGCTACAGGCGTCATATGGTCTGCCTGCGATGAAGTCACGCAATTCTCAAACGGCGGTATTGGCGGCTGTTTTGTCAAGAAGGTCGAGGAGTTCAGGGCCACGTTAAAGGACGTTATGGAGGAACTCAAGGAATGGGGTGAGGAGGAGCCTGATGATGAAGAGGACGACGACGAAGATGCCGATGATCTGGACCACGACTCGGCGCTGGGCTCCATGATGCCTTCGGCCCAAGAAATGATTGACGACATGATGTCCGGTCAGGGTGCGATTCCTCGTGACGACCCCGACAAGATCCGCGATCGCCTCGAATCCTGCCTGAAGCGCCTCAGGCTGACCACACTCCTCTACCAGGCCATTATCAAGAGGCGGTTGAAGGCCCTCCCCGAGCTCCCTTATGACAATTCCGACGTCCCCAAGCGCCTTGACGAGGCAATGCGCATCCTCAGGAAGCTACCTCACATGTTTGACGAGCTTGCTGGCGCATTCTATGAGCTCTCGCCTGACGAAATCGATCGGGTCATGGCCCTGTGCTTCAACGAGATTGTTGCGCTTTCGGACCTGCTAAAGAGGCCTTGGGCTGGTGAAACTGACGAGTTTTCCGAGTGGGCAGTCAAGTTCCAGGCCGAGATGAAGAAGGGCTGAGCGCCTCAGATCAGTCTATACATGAGCATGAGCTCGTATCCAGGCACACGCGGGAGCTAAGGAGGTTTCGCCTCCTCCCTCCCCCCAGCCACCCTATTCACGCGGCTAAAAGCGGTTTCCCGACCTGCATACATGCTGCCTATGAGCAAGGAAGGGGTCTCACTGCGCCATGCTCCGTGACTGAGTCGAGACTATGATTCGTCAGTTGACGCTAATCTGACCATTGGGTGGTGGTCGCGAGGCTATCGGTTTAAGACATTGTGAGTTGGAGCCTTTGAGGGGCATACCGTCACCTGTCGGGATTGTGGGGGCCATCACGGTCACGGGTGGCCAGCCAGTCATTTGCTTCTTGTGCAAATTCCGCACATGGCCTGCCTGCTGGGTGTCTGCAAAAGACGTCGGGAAATGTACATAAACTCGTCTAGCCAACATGGTAGAGTGCGATATTGTATGCCAAAAAAAATCATAGAGAAATGGACAAGGAAAAGGGTGTGACCGACGTTCCGGGAGTGCCCAAGGGCGACCGCGGTCTCAGAATTGCAGTACGGTTCAATCTCACTTCTGATCCTATGTACCACCCTCCAAGCTTATGCACTTACGCGCCGGGACCATAGATCATTTTCGTAACCATTAGCAGCAAAATCGCACACATTGCCACCGACATTCTCACGCTCCCATACAATCGGTTTTACCAACAAAACACTTTGCTGCCTATACTGGCCATCGCCAAAGCCGTCGAGGACAGCGAGAATGACGGAGAAATCTCAGCACAGCTCAAGCGGTGGCGAGATCGCAAGCTGAGAGAATTCCAGCTCGTCCAAGTTGCTGTAGGTCTCACGGTCTTCTGCCGCTCTCCGCCGAATCGAGCATCCCCGGGTAGCTGACCATTGTTAGAGCACCTTGATCTCTGCCGCCGTCATCGGCTGCTTCTCTTGGCCACCTCCGGACTCGCTGCATTGGCTCGCCCCGGCATTCTGGTACGCCAGCATCTCTTTCTCGCTCTTCTCAATCCTGCTCGCTGCATCGGAGCAGTTCATTTTCCAGACGCTCCACCGTTCGCCGAGTCCGCGCAACGTCGACAAGGAACTCGCCATGATCCTCTACATCCGTCGCAGCAAACAAGTCGAGCCCGTGCACTCGCCCCTTGAGGAACTGCCGCCCATCCCGCAAATCCGCGCCATCAAAATTAAGGAGAAGGGTGGTTGGTTCCCCAAGGAGATGCCGCTCGTCAGGATCCGGTGGAACATGATCTTCACGTGGCAGGCGCCGATGATGCTCATGGCATACTCGGCGATTTGCTTTCTGGGCGGGTTGACGGTCTACGTCTGCGCGCCACTGTATAATGGGCAGGGATGGGTTGGCGCAAGCAAGGTGAGTGCTTTTTTCCATTATGTCTGGTTGACAGTATTTTCTGACTGGGCCAGGCGGCCGTGTTCTACCTTGTCAGCTTCTTCTTCTGCGGAATCACCTTTGTCTGGTGCGCATTCTGGGCCTATCGTTTTGTCGACCTCGGAGATCCATGAGTTTCGTCACCGCGGGTTACAGGAATCGCATACAAATGGGTTAGGACAGCTGCATGTGCATGCAAATAAATGCAAGACACAAATTTTGGCCGAATGACTCACGCCGGTGGTAATACTAGACTCACTACGGCAGGTAAAACCCCACCCCAGTTCGGCTTCATGTACGCTTAAACAGATATATCAGTTTTCCATAGGTCGGGTTTCTCAAAAACGAGAAAGAAAAAGCCATGCTGTACATCCACGGTTGAACAGCGGCCCCTTAAAGCATGAGTGCTCCGGGGTGGTGGTGTCTGCAGGCTGCTGCGCAGGCCGACTGCCGAGAAGCCCACATTTGACACGACACTCACTGCCTATATCTAGGTACCTAGTCATCCCATTGCCTCGTAGATAGTCACAATGAAAGCGTACATTCTCACCTCCCTTCGCAACCGCTCAGGCTCAATACCCCGCAGAAAATGAATTGAAGATGCCCTGTTCTGTAGACGACATCTTGAAAAACTACGAGTTTGACCCCTCAATAATACAACGCATCGCTACGCGAAAGGTTAAACTTGCCCTGTCTATCGAGCCCCCGAACCCCGAGTGGCCGGCGCACTTTGAGAAGTTGAAATCCCTCATCGATGCCGCTCTCGGTCCGGTCGCTTTGTCCATAAATCACGTCGGTTCAACCTCAGTGCCCAAGCTCCCAGCCAAAGCCGTCATCGATATCGACTTGGCTGTAGCCGACCCCACAAACGAAGACGCATACGTGCCTGCTCTGGAGCAGGCAGGGTTCCAATTCCTCGTGCGCGAGCCACCGTGGCATGAGCACCGCTTTTTCGCCATGTACGAGCCGTATCATTGCAACTTGCACGTTTTCAAAGAAGGCACGGCGGAGCTGGTGAGGCACCTTATCATGAAAGAATGGCTCACTACGAACGATGACGATAGGGAACTGTACGCAAGGACCAAGATGGAAGCGGCCGAGGTGAGCAATTCGCTCGGAGAGGAGGTGATGGATTACAATCTAAGAAAAGAAAACGTCATCCGGGAGATTCTTCAGCGTGCTTTCAAAGCGAAGGGATACCTGAGTCATGAATGAAATGGCGTACGAGCGACCCAGTGCAGGCGTTGGTAGATACGACCACGAATGTGAACCTAACGAGTCGCTCCACCTCATGAAATGGCATCTACAAGACTGGAAGCCAATATTCAATGTTATCCATACAAGAGGTCTGCATATTCTGCTGCATTCTCCGTCCTCAAGAGCCAGTACCAGATAGCCTCTTAGTATAAAGTATCACCGAATCTCTGGGTCTGGAGTATCATGGAAGCGGAATATTTGGAACTTGTATCCGAGAATGCATTCAAGCATTTTGGAGCTGTTTCAAATCTTCATCGTTGACGCAATGTCATGGCAAATGAGTGCGGTAATGTCAGCTGTCAGACGGCGTCCCAAGCCATTCAAAGCGTTGAAGTTGAAAGAGATGACGGATACACAAACCACACCTGCTAGTCTCCCTAGACACAGTTAGATATGTCCATGGTTGTGACAGAAATCCGCTTCGAAGCTAACCGGCCTCGACAAAGTTACATGTATGGATGAACAGTATTTGATATATCAGATTCCCGTCAAGAGGGAGCAGGACTTTCTTGGTGAAGATCTTTGGTAAGCAATATTGCCATAAATACAGCTTGCTACCTTACCCACTTACCCTTTGAACAAGCCCCCGCTTCAACCCGCTTGCACGATTTGTGAATCTTCTTTCAAACGGCATTATCACCAAGGACCTCTGGCGCAATGGTAGCGCTTTCGACTCCAGCTCAGGATGGCATCGGAAGGTTATCTGTTCGAATCAGGTGGGGTTCAAGTCTCCATACGAGCTTTTTTGCTGTTTTTGACCTGTTCTCAATGTTTGGGAATGATCTTGTATCCGTGTCGTGGTGTTTTACGTTCTGGACGATATTTTAAGTCCATTGGTGCGAGAATATGTACAGACGTGGGCGGTTTCCTTTGGAAAACGAGCATGGGTCTTGCCACACCGGTTTGCCCCACATGGCAGCCAGTTTCTGCGTTCGACGTGGCGTAATTCTTATATCTAGTCATGATTGAGTATAACCCAGCTGGAGTTACAAATCAAGATGTTTCTCAGATAACGGAGAGTATTTTTATGTGGAACCAGCTTATTTTTGATCAATTGACCCCTTCTCCGTATGGCTATCGGGCTGTCAACCCGCCAGGGGTGAATGTCAAGGCTCTGATTTCCACACTAGATGTCCGGAGTAACATCGCGTCAAGGCAGTCACCAATCGGAAATAGGAACTTACCTCAGATAAGAAGGGAAAACATACATAAGACGCAGAAGTGTCCTGCATTTCCCCCCTCAGAACGGTTGATTCGGCTCACTGGCTTTCTACGCTAGGCTGTTCAATATGTCCCCTCAGGATCGATTCCCCAGCGAAACCCCCACTGACCAGAGTGAGAGCATGCCTTTCCTTTCCCTCTTCGCAACTGGCACTAACTCGCCGAAATCACTGGATAGAACTTGGCCCCGTTGTCAGCACTCTGCCTGCTGCTGGACCAGACGGGTCCGTCATTCTACACGGCTCTTTAGTCACACTTGAACCCTGGTCAATGTCGATTCACTGGACTAGTTTCTGGCGCAACCTTCAACTACTCAAGAACCCATGGCTGTTAGACTACTTCCCGTTCGACGAGGTCTGCTCGGAGGCGGATCTGCTCAAACAACTCGCTCATCTAGTTGCAAAGCCAGACATCATCCTGTATGCTGTTCTTGCTGATCCGGCATGCCTGAACCCGGTGAAAGGTGCTGGCGGAGGGGAAGGCTCAGCCAGACATGTAGAGGTTCTTGGCTTCATAGCGTATTCGCTGGCTGGTGAGATGCACCGTGAGATTGAGATCGGAGCGATATTTGCGCCGGCGCTACAGCGGACGGCAGCGGCCACTGAGGCGCATTATAGGATGTTGAAGAATGTGTTGGAGCCGGCTCATGTGCAGGAGGGAAGGTCTTTGCCGTACCGAAGAGTGTCATGGAAGTGTAACAGTCTGAATACATCTTCTCGTAGGGCGGCGGAGCGGTTGGGGTATGTGTATGAGGGGACGTTGAGGAACCATCAGATCGTCAAGGGGAGGTCGAGGGATACGAGCTGGTTCAGTATCATTGACACCGAGTGGCCGTTGGTAAAAATTGCCCTGCAGAACTGGTTGGCTGACAGTAACTTCGATGACCACGGAATGCAAGTAGAAACGCTTGGCCATATTCGGGAAATCTTGCTTTCAAAGGTTGGACATTCTGAGAAGTAGACAACCGACTATTATAGTCTGGGGGTGCAATCGATTCACTGGCTGCGTCCACAAAAGAAATATGTAATTCATGTGTCAATGAACCCTTCCTGGAGCATACTCTGGATATTCTAACTCTTGCAAGGTCAGAGTATTGTCATGCAGTGTCAGCCCATCTATTGGTGACCAAGGAGAATTGAGTGATGGGCAATGTTTCTCTTCACATCAAACTTTCCATATGTTTGCTCAATAATGACGGCAGGGTCAAGTGACTGGAACAAAGAGTTGCGTTAAAATTAAGAAAACAGAGAGAAATAGACTGGTTCTGAAGAAAAGAAAATGTAGCCAATAAAACAAAAAAATTACATAACCGCACCTGTCTTGTGCCCTCCTTCTTTGAAACTCAGTTGCCGCTCTTCTTGGCTTATTCAGTGTCCTTGTAAGGAAGGCCAGGGTATTCTGGAAGCTTCCATCCCTCAATATCATCCGACTGAAACCTTTGAAAGATCTTATCGATTTTCAACGTCGCTACCAGCCATAATATGCTGTTCAAGATGGCAATGACCCATCGAGAGCTGGGATACAGCCAAGACGGTCTGAACCCGATATCTTGAACTGTCTTCATCAAGGCCAAGATTTCCTTGTCGTATGCTTCAAGGGCGGCTGGAACACCATCAGACACTCTGCCAGAAGACTCTGAGCAGTGTTTCGTGATTTCTCCTGCCAGAACGTAGGCTCCAACGAACGCACAGGTTGTTCCACGGCCAGTCAGGACGCTTGGTGCGTATCCCGCATCGCCGATGAGCGCTACACGGTTCTTGTAGCACTTGTCCATCCGGATCTGCCCAATGTTCACCGAGTAGAAGTCATCAGATACGCCGCCTTCTTGCAAAGCGTCGACGAAGCGATCTGCCTGCCATCCAGCGTCCCTAAAAAACTCCGACCACAATTGCTTCTGCCGACTAGTGTCACGGCTCGTTTCAGCGTCCACGAGGAGTTTCTTGATTTTCTCGTCAGTTGGACAGATGGCAAGGTAAGCCTGGGTCGTCTCTGGGTTGTCGTTTCTTGTCATCATGACTCGCTTCTTGGTGGAAACACAGACAGTAGCGTAGTTGGTATCCGTCTTCCACTTCGGAACGGTGTAGAATGCCATGTGTAAGCCGAGGTCATAGAATGGGTCCTTTGCGCTAGGTCCGAGCATGAGTTGTCTTGTCTTGGATCCTTGTCCATCTGCTCCAACGAGGAGATCATACGTGCTTGTGGTGCCGTCGGACAGACGCACTGTCACCGATTCTGAGTCCTGTTCGAAAGACTCGATAGAAGTGCCAAACACGTACTTGACCCCAAGATCTTTTGTTTTCTGGAAAAGAATTCGAACCAAGTCGCCGCGCATAATCTCAAACTCGGACGTAAACGATTGCCTGCCGACGCCGGTCTTGTTTGCTTCGAAGGTAGCCCGCGGCTTGCCTTGGAGGTTGACAAATGTGAGACCGGCCTCGTTGACCGCCTTGGCTCGTATCGATTGCTCCAAGCCCATGCGGCGGACCACTTCGACACCCTCCCCACGAAGATCGATTTGTTGACCCTGAATGCGAAGTGTGTTGGATCGCTCGATGATGGTCACATTGTGGCCCAGCTTCGCAAGCCAAAACGCAAGGGCTGGCCCGCCGATGCCTCCGCCTGAGATGAGGACTTTGAGAGACGACATAGAGCAAACTTATTTAAATATATCAAAAGTTTTCACTGAATTTCTCCGGTTTCGCAGATATTGCTTTGTACATTGACTGGGTACTCTTATACATTCAACAGAGCAGCTGGATTGGAGGAATATATATAAGAATCTGGAATTGAATTCAAACGGTTATTGTATGAAGTATGACGATGGCATAGGCAAACATAGTTTCGTCGTATAAGCTCGGCCATTTGTCTTGTCCGCAGGCCGACGTCCGACGTCCGACATTGAATTCGGGGTTTTTACTCATGACGTCAAGACTCGGGTCTATTGATTTGCTGAGGGTCAAAGGCCGCACCGGTCAGCATGCGGCATGGCCTGCACTAATCCGAGCCAGGCGGCCATTTCCTATAGTAGCGCCGATTTACGCGGCTTAAAGCAATTCGGACTTTTTCACTTTGTCCGTCGGTCTTTAGACGTTGCATTTTGTGTCTGAAAGACTAATCGATGTTTACAACACTTGGTGACATGATCCGAATGATACCCACTCATCCGCCATTACTAGACGTAGACATACGATTAATATTGAATCATATGCATACGACGGCTCTTTCATACATAAGGAAGATGTCATATCCTGACAGGACGGAACTCTGGTAGCAAAGCCTTAGTTAGTGGTGTCTGGCAACGATGCTTAATAACAATATTTTCTCACTTCCCACCGCTAACTGTAATTAAACACATACAACCACCTGATGTAATGACAGAGAGCAGCATGTTGTATAGTAGAAGGTCGTAGCTTATTCTACGTGGATTTATAGAGAAAGTGGTAACAATTATTGACAATTTCCTGGCCTCATGGTCTAGAAATTAAGCATGAAATATAGGTAGTAATATGGGCTAGGGTCAGAGCGGGATTGGCGGATTGCATAAGGTGTTTTCCCGGCCTACTCATAGGGCATCCTTACATGTTGCCTCCCGATTGAAGAGGTTGTCCTCTGTCATAAAGCGCCCATTCAACTCAAAATCTATTCTCTGCGGCCAAAATTATGAAAGGACGCTCAGCTGCAGCAAACAGGCCCAACAGTATCCAAATAACCCGCCCAATACCACTCTCGTTGCGTTCAGCAGCTACAGCCGCATGACTGAGGCGCGATACAGCTTTGCAGCAGGCTTGCATAACAAAGTTCTCCCGGCAGTCATCAAAGGCCGAACATTTGTTCTAATGGCCAACCCCTCCGTTGGTGGCGGTCCAACACCATCCTTCCCGCATGACTTCCAGCAGTAACCGTTAGAACAACCATAGGGCGCCGTAAAGTAGCACACTCTCTCGCTGGGAAGAAGACTTAAAAGGGAGAGTGGTCTAGTTGGCAGAAGGCACTCCGCCCTCCGCACTACTGTCTAGGGGACTAGCGATACGCCCTGTTGAGGATCGAGGATACGCACTCTGCCGTTCGGATGCCCGGCACACATGCGCAAGTCGCTAGGAGATACGCCCTCAGGCAGCTGGGAGACATCAATGTTCAGGACACCAAGGTCCCCGCAGATAATAGCAGCGCGAGTATCTCCCTGGCCCGGCGCAGCCGCCACGTACACCGCGGCGGTGTAGCCAAGCAGAAGAAGACGTCTTGCAGGAGCCTTCATGTTTTCTCTGTAACTGTCAGCCCATTCAGCACGTAGGCACCCCCTGGAGGGATGGCTTCTTTGGGAGCAAACAAACCAGATGGCGTCATGCCTAAAACCGCGTTTCTCTTTTTCTCTGCGTCGTTTGCAAATGCTGGATTAGATTGAGGTGAAGAGAGACCCAGGCTAGATCTGGTCCGGTAGTCAATAGCCTACTTAAGTACTACATAGTCCGCAACCGCTGGAGGCAGCACGAGGCAGCTCGGCCGAA